TAAAAGAATGAGAAATAGTTTCAAAATTACAAAAATTTGGCCATTATTTTAAAAATTAAAATAAATTATTTTAATTCAAAAATTTTTTATTACAAAAAAAAACAAATAAATAATTAATACAATTTCAAAATACTAATTGTAAATTCAAATATGTATATTTTTAGTAAATACTCGAGTGAAAAAAATTTAACAAAAAAATAATTTATAAATATTTATTAAAACTTTTTAACACTTAAATATTACATAATAATTTTAAATATTAAAAATATACTTTATTTAATTAAAAAAATTAAGAATTTAAAAATAACTTCAAAAATTAAAAAGTGATTTAAAAAATGTAATATCTTAAAACAATGTAAAATTTAAAAGATTTAATAACTACAAAAATTTAGCAATTCTTTTTAAAATAAATATCCAATAAATTAATTTAATTCAAAAAGTTTTGTATTGAACAAAAAAAAAATAATTAACATAAGTTTGAAAATATTAATTGTAAATTTAAATAAATGTGTGTTTTAGTAAATTTTCAAATGACCAAAATTTGAAAAAAATTATAAATATTTCAAAAATTAAAATAACTATGATATTATATAATATATTTATATATTTTTTTAATTAGAAAAATTTGTTTATATAATAAAAAACTAAATAAATATATATAATATTATAATAGTAACCTAAATATATCAATAAAAAAAATTTACACATATGTACATAGGTATATAAAAAATATTTGTTTCTATTTATTTAATTCAGATTTCTTTTTAATTTGTTGTCGTAAAAAGTTTTACTTAGTACTGAAAATTTGTTCAAATAGTGACTTTCTTTTAATTTTTTGTGTGTGTAAAATTTTTTAAATTGTTCTTGTGGGTTTTAATTGAAATGTTTGAAAAAGTTACTTAAACATACATAACTTTATTTTTATAAAATTAATTTCTAACCCACTGTTCGCCATATGCATACACAAAACCACCTTTGCTATCGTTTTCGCGCCCTACAAACCTCTCTCCACTCGGTGGTTGCTCTACAAATGCATTCTTCATCAATTACAAACAACTATTTCGCCATTATCTCTTAGCCCACGCGCAAACTGCTCGCATAGAAGAAGCTACAAAGTTCTTGAAAAAAATCTCTGCCGCCCGACACATTTGTTACACAACAGACAAAAGTTTGGTGGGTGGTTAGAAAATAAGATTTATAAATATTGCGCACAAAAGGCGAGTGCAATCCCTGGTATTTGTATTTAATTATTTTTAAATTAGACGAACTGCAGCAACCAGCAGCGGTCGATTTGAAGGGCTACCCAACGGCAAACAAAGGACCTGCTCTTGCTCCTGCCGGATTCTCAAGTACATATTCACAACTAATGTTTGCTTGTTCGCCTGTCTGTTTGTTTATTTATCTCTCGTGTAAGTAAATATTACTTATTTGTGTTTCTATATATGTATATATATATATATATATATCTATATATATGATAGAGTGAGTTCATCCCTCCAACAAGGAAAAAAGGTTGCACACGCGTCGAACGAAATTGTGCCAGAATGCCTTGGCCGCCACTGTTATTCGACACTTGTGGTTTTATGGCTAATCACTCAAATAACTTCGGAGTTTCGACTCGGGTACATGCATAACTACTTGTTAGTGGCACTTCCAGTGCATATGGCGCAATTTTGAAATTTCAAAAACAACAAAAACTACACCGTCTTTAGTTAGCACCTTTCTGCCACTTTTCGCCCTATGCAAGCAACTAAACGTTGACCCTCTCTGCCATCAATCGTTTTTTGACAGCTCTCTTAATAAGAGTACATGTGTACATATGTACCTACAATGACAGATCCTTTGCTGTCCTGTTGTGTAACCGTCTGTAGAGAAAAGTCTATATTATGTCAGCGTTTTAGGCGCTTATCACTGCATCAAACAACAAACAATGCTCGCGCTCAACTTAAACACACTAATAGACACTAGCGATATCTAATTCTGTATATATGTTTGTACATATGTGCATGTAAATCTATATTTATTCCAATTAACTATTCGTCTAACGTAATTAGCGGTTTCAACAAATAAAATATTAGACAACATCGGTGTTGTTGGAATGTTGTCATGTGCTCGAACGGCTGATTACAATGCTGACTAAATAAATAATGTTTTTCGTTACTCATATGCATGTAATTCATGTAGGTAATAGTTACTCTTACTCTTGACCATTTACTATTACTGTCTAGGAACTCAGAGATCGGACTAGTCTTTTAGAAATATACAGTTTGTTCACTCACAACGAATATCCTTGGTTTTCAAAATCTAAACTTATAAGAATCCTATAAAAAAAACTTACCAAGTCCAAAATAAGAAGAAAAAAAACATTAACACCAGAGACTGGTTAAGTCAAAATGGCAAGCTATATATGTCCTACTAATATTTTTGTCTCAGACAGTTCAAACTTTGAGTGATCTTAAAGAAAGCATAGAATAAACACGAAATTTCTTAAAAGAGAGTCGTATACAAGTATATCACTTACAAGTTTCCCTACAATTTGCAGAACCATATATTTTAGTTGAGATCAGAAGAGTGTCTTGAAACAATGATTCTAAAGCTCTGCCTTCGTTCCATTACTTAATTCAAAATGATGAGACTCATATCACGTAATTTACGGTTCTTGCGGAGAAAATTTCTCGATTACTGTCTGAGACATTCTGTTAAGTGCAGATATCTTACCTTAAATTCTATAATATGGATAAAGAAAGATACCTATAGAGCGTTTATATTATGCACAATTCCGCTAACTTTTGAAATTTTATTTTTGCGTGACTGCTTAAGTAGAAAACAAGTTTTGAAGCCTCTCTTTCCAAAATTTGAATGCATATACATAATTAAGATATAAACAACATACACAAATTTAGAATTTACAAATTTAGAAATTAGAACAGTTTTGAAACTACTAAAACTTATTAAAATAAAACAAAATATGAAAATTAAATAAAAAGTTTACTTTGAAAAGGTTGTAAAACCTTTGGCAATTGTATCAAATACAAAAAAATGCTTTGAAAAAATTGTATGTGAATTTCGTAAATTTTTATTATTTGGAAAATGCTAAAAAACATTGAAGATATGGTTATATTCTAGAAAACAGTTCGAAAATATCGAAAAACTTTTAAAATATTTTCGAAAACTTTTGGAAACCAATAAAAATAAGTTAAATGTTAAAAAAAAAATTTAGAAAATATTTAAAAACGTTCGAAAAGTATATCAGAATTTAAATTAATTTAAAAAAAATCTTGTATGAAAATATTTGTTCTTTGGAAAATGTTTAGAAAACACTAAAAATCCTTTTATATTCTGAAAGTTAATTCAAAAATATCGAAACACTTTAAAAATATTTTCAAAAGCTTTTAGAAACAATAAAAACTAAAAAATGATCGAATATTTTAAAATATGTGAATGATAAAGGTAGAAATCCTTTTAAAATATACAATTAACAAATATTTTGAAAAGCTCTTAAGTGGTTTTCGAAATTGTTCTTATTCGGAAACGCTGTAGAAATTAAAGTTGAAAATACTTGCAGATTCTGAAAGCTGATTAAAAAAATCTTAAACATACATATATGTATGTATGTATGTAATATTAAAACCTTTTACAAACAATTAGAAATAAATCAAAAATTTTTAAAAATGTACTTAAAAAAAAGAAAACACTCCAAATAATAACAAAAGTCCAAAACCATTTTAAAAATATTTTGTAGGATTTTCGAAATGTTTTCCTAGTTGCAAAATGTTTAGACAACTTTAAAACCTCTTTTCAATTAAAAAATCAATCCAAAATTATCGAAAAACTTTTAAAATTTTTAGAAACGATTATAATTAGTTCGAATATTTCGAAAAACTTCGGAAAAATATACAACAAGTAACAACTATTTTTAAAAAAATTTATGAAATTGTTCTTACTCGAAAATTTTTTAAAAAACATTGGTAATGCATTAGAAAATTCTTGAAAGTAGTTCAGATATATTAAAAAACGTTTGAAAACAAATAAATATATAGACAAGCTTTCGAACTGCGATCACTGTAAATAAAAATTTTCAGAAATTTGATTTTTGAAATGGTTTGTCAAAACTTTGGAAACTCTTTGCAAACACATGGAAATCAATTTTCAAATGTTGAAAAGGCTTAAAATATTTTTAAAAACTTTTAGATACAATAATAATAATTAATTTAAATATTTAAAAAAATCCTTAAAAGAAGTTTTGAAAATATTTTTGAAAACTTTTTGAAAAGCTTAAAAGCATAAAAAAACTAAATTAAATTTTATTTCTGAAAAAAGAACTTTTATGGTAAGTAAATATTTTATGTATCTAATTTTCTCTTATAAGCACTTTCGAAACTCGCCGTTATACAAATAATTGTAAGCTAAATAAGAGTAAGCTGTCTAGTACTATCCTTACAACAAATACAATTACAACAATTCACACTAGATACGGTTATTTGACAACAGATAATATGTGCTGATAATACGAAATACTCTGACCTTACTTTTAGTAAGAAAACAAGTAAATAAAGGTATGCATATTATTAACTAATACATATATACAAATGGACATACAAACATACAAACGAGTACGAGTGCACTCAATCTAACCTCTACAAGTGTGTGTCTCGTGCACAAAATAAATATTGACCACACTCTATTGGCATTGTTGATGACACATATTTGTACGTTTGTATATATATATATGAGTGTATTTGTTTGTTTGTGATACCTTTCGTCAATTGTGAGTGACCACAGTGTCACCCACGCCACATTTGCTTGCTGATCCTTGTACCTCACTTATAACAAAATTAAGTTGTACTCCATATAACACGAGTGCCCTAGTAGTACGAGTATTGTTGTTACTCTCGCTTATAGTTGACAATTATGCTTAAATAATTACGCTAATGACAACTTACTTTTATAAACTATGTAATTACTGATGTTTTTTTTGTCTTTTGCTTCTGTTTTTCTAGGCGATTATTTACGAAGGACAAGATAAAAATCCGGAAATGTGTCGTGTACTGTTAACGCACGAGGTTATGTGCAGGTAAGCTTCGATTTTATAGCAGTAAAATGTGTGTCTATGTTTGAAATATCATAAATATTTTTTGTGAATGAGAGAACTTTTCAAAAAATATACACAATTCGTGACGTCGATGCTATTTCGTTGCTTCAGAGATTGATTAGACTCTTAAGTTGGCTAAATATATAGATTGCACCACCTTATTTTATCTAACATCGGTATCAATGGCTGAACTCAAACGAAAGTGCTTGATCTACAACAAACCTTCCGATTTGTTGCAGCAACTGCAGTTTTACGGCCTTTTATTGCCTATCCGTTTAGGTATTGTCAAGTCATCCCGATAGAAAACATTAATATAAATTATTCTCCAAAAATTTTTAGGAAATGATGCTGAGATGAAAAATTTTGCTTGAGTATAAATTCGAGTTCCATTGAATCTAACAAGGTCTGATTAAAAATACCTGACTGTCATGATAATAGCAGAGCTTGAGACTATGACAGACGTTAGCCTCTTATAAAATCTCAAATATTGTTGCTAGGGATTACAACAGGGCCTAAACGATCTGCTTTAATTGTTTTAGTACACGCAAAATTGCTTAGGTAGTCACAAGACCTCCCTGGCTCACAATCTATATTAATTTCACCTAATTATCAACTTGCCTGTTCTAAAAATCAGCTGATCAATTAGACTAGAAATATAATATTTTTAAGTTCCTTAGAACATTTGGCTGCGTATTTTTAGGCGCATATGCATTTCTCTTCATAACACGGCAGTAAATATTATTTTCTCTCATCAAACAAAGCAGATAATTTACAAAATTACCACAAATCAGCGGCTAAAAGAAAGTCATTGGAAATTTGCAGCCTTCCCCTGCTCTTTAGGAAAAGCCTAGTGTCATTGATACTTCACACAAACACGTTCGCAACGCCTGCCACTAGGCAATGTGCCAAAAATAAACAATCATACGCAAATATGCATGTATATAGGTATGTGCAAAGTGAAGCCCTAACGAAATTTCGAGTTCATTGATGAACCAGCCACACAGAAACAGTTATTCATGTATTTGCTTACGAATAAACACACATGCATACCTTTACGAATATATGCAAATATTTTGCAAGGCAACCTTTGCTTTGAAATCCTAGTAGCCACCTAAAGAGTCAAAGGGAAGTAAATTTCGCTCATAAGATTACTATATTAAACTTTTTCATACACATATACATATGTATGTGTGTATGTATATGTGTATGTATATGTGTATACAACGGTATATTTTTGTTGTTTAGCTAATAATCTTTGTGGAAAATGCAAAGTATTTCGCTGCATAACTTCCAGTTGAGCTAGAGCTTCAAAGGCAATTCACACAGTTTGCCGAAATAAGAGACAGTGTTGCAAATCCCGAAAATGAATGTCGGGGCTGCGTTGTTTTTTTGAGTGTTTTATTGCTTGAGTGTGGTTATCAAACTGAATATTTTTTACATCAGTTTTAATTTTTTTGCAATAGAATTAGAGGTTTATTGTAATTTCTTGTATCTGCCCATTTGGTTAAAAACAATATAAAAGTAGTCAGCAAGTTCTTAACGTGCCCCACAGCGTTTGTTCTTTTCAAGTACAATATAAAACAACTTTTTTCAAAGTTTTCGGCAACTCGTTTATTGTATATCGGTAATACCTAAATCCTATATTTCTAAAAACCCTTTTTCTTATATAATAAATGTCAATATTTTTTTTCAATTAATATAATATAAATTGAAATAATATTTCCAAAAATTCCTTTTCTTATATAATAAATGTAAAATTATATAATAAAAATTAAAAAAAAAAAATATTTTTCAAATTTTCGGGATCCCGTTTTTTGCATAACGAAAATCACAAATTTCCATATATCTAAAAATACTTTTTCGTCTCACACATGTAAAATTAACTTATTATTTTTCAATAAAAATAAGTAAAAAAATTTTCTAAATTTTTGGGATTCTGATTTTTACACATCAAAAATCCCGAAATTCTAAATTTCTAAAAAAAAACACATTTTCTTTCCAATAAATCTTAAATGAGCTTTAAAAAAATTTTGATATGCCATGAGTTTTAAAAATCCCGAAACCCCGAAGTTTATCGCAAGCTCTAACTTTTATAAAGGCTGCCAAGAGTTCAATGCTTCGTGTCATATATTATACATACAATATGTGTATGTATGTATACCTGATTTTTCCCACTACAATCCCTTGTTACAGAATCATAATTCTCCAGAGCTTACAAATTCTGCTTTTCGCCTTTGTGCAGCTTTCTTCTACTATCTACTCTTTTTTCTATTAAAATACATTTTTTTCGAACTTTTCTTCTTTCTCCATAATTTTTTGTTGCTTTTCCTAACCCAAATAGAATAACATTAAATTACATGCTTCATCACTAGTTAATTCCAACAAATGTTAACGCACTTCTTCAGCCTACATTTTTTCGTTATTTTTCACTCTTTTACGCCTTAGACCAAATATATTTGTTTTTCACAATCTTTCAATCCATTTATTTACTTTTTTTATGAATTCAATCATCGCTTTGTCGCATTCTGTTATTTCCTTTTCTCTCTCACTATCGCTCTCCCTCTTTTATGCACCCGCTCTTGAGCTTTAAGATTAGAATAATTTTACAATGAGCTTCTTCAATTGCCGTATCTCATTATTTCGTCGAAATAAATTTGACTTGAATTGAGTTAAAAGGAACAAAGCGAAAACTGCTTGAGTGGAGCTTCTTTGCGTAGACAGCCACAATTTTCAGCCATAAAAAGCTTTCTTTCACGCAAACCACTTAGATAACCGTTGCGAGTGGCCATCATTATGAGCCAAACACCCAGCAAAATTTAGTGTGTGTGTGAGTGGTACTTCAACACCTATACAAATAGAAGGATGTCGGACAAAGGGATGTCCAACGGAGCATAACATAATCGAGTGCTTGTAGCCTAAGCAGTAATAGAAGTGGGTTGAAATGGTCCGGTACGGCAGCTGTGTGGGTGGTTATTGGGCTAACGGTGAGTGGGTGGTTGGCAAAGGAAGGCGGTGAGACGACACATAGTCGAATCATCAGTTGCAATGATATAAAGCAAACAACAATGGCGTCTTTATCGTTTGGCATTTCGCCCATTTTATATATGCTCTATGGACTATGGTTGCCCTGTAGGGATTTAGAAAAAAATTGAAGTAAATTTTGTAACTAGTTTGTAGTTAAAAGAAAAACAATTAAAAAAAGAATAAAATAAAATAAAAAATGTTTTGAATTGGTTATGTTGGAACAACATTGCAAATAATTACACTGTTGTGCATTTTTAACCAGTTCCATTGAAACGAGTTTATAACCAGTTCTTACTAAATTTTTTATAAGCAATATTGAAATGTTTGCAACTAGTTTCATTGTTGTCAGCGTTTAGCTAGTTAGATTAAAACTAGTACACAACTAGTTCTTCTTAAAAATTATTATGACAAATATTTAAAAGGTATTTGAATGAACTCATTTGTTTGCAACTACATTAAAACTAGTTATATTATTATAATTTTTCAACTGGTTATTTTGAAACTACTTCATAACTAGTTGCTCTTTCATTTTTTTATGTGAAATATTTATATAAGTGTTTTAAATTGTTTGGGTTTGAACTGTTTTGCGATAAGTTACTCTGTTGCTAGTTATTAACGAGTTATATTGCAACTAGTTTATACCTAGTTTTTCTCAAAACAGCTTATAATTGATGTTGGCAACTGACAAAATTTTATTTATGCAAAAAAATGTATTTTTATTAAAATCAAAAGTCCATGTCCTTCAGGGTAGCTTTCGCCGCAAAAGTCATACACCAACACAATCAAACACCTGGTTTTGCCTCTATGACAGTCAATTGTCGCTGATAAACTGCCTCCCAAACTCGTCTACACCCCCATATTACTTGTAGCCCGTTCTCTACACATTACAACAACTACAAAAATGTTGCAAATAAGGAAAACAGAAATATTCCACAAGTTTCATTTTGTCTATTCTGCGTATTGTGAAATTGCCTGAACGATTATGGTGATGGCGGCGACGGCGCATTGTTGACTTTTCACCGGCTCTAACGGTGCTCATATCATGTGGGGTATCACCTTTATATTGTATGTATGTATATACATGCTTTATTTACCATACATAAAACAAGTGGTAAAACTATTGTACAAACGTGGGGAATCGTTGGCAGCATCTTTCTATAACAAAGTGGTAAGAGAAAATTTTGGGCTGAAAAAATATATTTTAGAACGGTTAAAGGTATAAATTTCAAAAAAAGATAAAAACTAAAATAATATAATTTTATAAAAAATAAATTAGCTTTTTTATTTATTTTATAATCATAACATTTTAAAAACTTATACATTTTTAAAAATATTAAAAAAAAAACCAATTTTTTTCCAAATTCTTGTTAAAATTTTACAAATTTAAGAATGGTGTAATAATAAAAAATCTATTGTAGCTTTATAAACTTTTTTATAATTTTAAATGTTTATAAAATTTGAAAACTCATAACGTTAAAAAAAATTATAATTTATTTAAGAAATTATAAACATATAATATTACCCTTAGAATATTTTTTTTTTTAATTTTTAAAATATATAAAATGTAATTAATTCTGTAAAAAAATTAAATTAATATATCAATAACTTTTTATAATTTAAAATATTACATGCAAAATTTTTAAGGTTATACAATTTTTAAAATGAAAAAAAAACATTTTAATAAATTCTTACTTTATAATAAAATTACGGTAAAAATTAATTGAATATAAAATACTAAAAAAATGATATACATATGTACATATGTATGTAATTTTATTTAAAAAATATTTTATCAAATTTGAAGTCACAATTTTTTTTAAATGAAAGAAATACGTATATTTTTTGGTATCAAATAACAAAATAATTTAAATAATTTAAAATAAAATTAAAATAAAAAAATTATATTTTTATTTCTATATTTTCTTTTATATACAATTTTAGAAGTTATAAATATTTAAAAATGGTTAAATAAGCCTTTAATTCAGATAAAATATTTACAAAAATGAATATGAAATATTAAAAATAAATTTGAATGCATCATTCAATTATACAATTGTTGTTTATATACAACAAAATAAATAAAATAAAATATACAAGTAGTTTTTTTTTAATATTATTTATAGTAACTCCGATTATATATTATTTGATACCAAAAAATATTTTTGTAAAATTTGAGAAATCATAAATTTAAAGTTGTAAATTAATTAATAATTAAATTTATATGTATATAAATTTTTAAAAACAACAAACAATTCTTGTTTTTATTTTAAATATTACATAAAACAGTAATAAAAATGAAAATAATTTTAAATAGTGAAAAATTTATAAATATATATTTATAAGAAAATTACAAAATTTTAACAATCATAAATTTCTAACAATCAAAAAAGTAATTTTATGATATCAAATAATATTAAAATAAAAAAAGAATTAAATTTAAAAGATACATTTTCTTAAGTTTTCTTGCTCTCGGTTAAAATACTCCCATACTCAATAGCTCAATATATTTTCGTCTCAAAAAAGTCATTGAATAATAAAGTAAATACATTTCTGTATATGTATGTACATCACCACTCATTAAATTCACGATTCCTTTTCTTTTTTGCCTTTAAAAAATTAATTTTAACAATTGCTGACATTTACATTTTGATCATAAAATAATTTTCAATATTTCAATTCTCACACTTCTCTCTTCTTCTTCGCTTGCAGTCGCTGTTGTGATAAAAAAAGTTGTGGCAACCGCAATGAGACACCATCAGATCCTGTCATTATTGATCGGTAAGTAGCAATAATATAAAAACATATTTATTACAATGTAAAAGCAACAAAAACATTGCTGTGTTGACATTATTGATGTTTTGGCGTTAAGTACACACTCGATTCGTGTGGATGTTGTGGCTGTAGTTGTTGTTGTAATTGCGTGACAATGCCGCGAGCAATTTGCATACGCGCAATGCGAAAAGACAACAACAACAACAACACTAATGTCACATGATGTACTTAAGCAGAAACAAGTGCTTACAGCAATTGTGGTCGCCATCGGCTGGGACCGAGTTGTTGTAGCAGAAACTGTGAGTGAGGCGGAACAGTAGCCGGGCTGCCGTCATGCCTTTACAAAAAATTACTCATAAGCAGCTTTTCATCATTTCACAACTGAAGAATGGCTTATAATATACTTGCGTACTTTTTATACTTGCTTGTTGTGTGTTCTTGCACGGTGTTGCCAGCTCTTGCTCTTTATGCTCTTGCTTGTGTTTGTTTGGCTGCAGGATACGCACAGGTCCTTGCTGTAGCTGCTTGCATTTCACTAGCATTGCAACGTATATGCAATATGTGTGTTTGCATAGTACACATATATTTAGACATGTCCTTGTGCATTCGTGTGACTTTTTTCCGGAGATGTCAAAAATGCATATCATTGATTTATTGACAGTATTCTTATCGAATGCGTCGCATCACGAAGATGGTCTCATATTTTACTGCATGTTGTCTTCTGCAACGACATGACCATATATACATACATGCATACACATGTACGTAAACACATATGGTTATAAATAAGTAGTGCAGAAACAGTGCGAGGCATGGTTGGGCTATAAAGATGTTTAAGAGGCTCAAGTTTATGAGCAGACAATGATTTCGGTCATGTCTTAAATAAAAAATTAAATTTTTAAAGGAAAATTAATAAAACGAACATTTTTAAAGTTAATTTTAATTTTTATTTATAATTTTTTTTTCAACTTGGTATGTGGCAACACTTCAAAAAATGTCATTAATATTTTATAAAAACAATATTATACTGTTTATAAATATTATTTTAAAAATTTCTTGAAAAAACTTCATCGGTGGCAACAATTTTCAATTATTCAATATTTTTTATCAAATTAATATTGTTTTTAAATACATTTTTCTTCTCGCAAATAATATACATTTTTTTTTTATAAATAATACTTTAAAAAAATTTTGAAATATGTTGGTAAGTGGCAACACTTTTCTATTTATTATTTAATTAATATTTTTTTAAGAATATTTTTCTTCTTACAATGATAATTTATGTGTGGCAACACTGTTCAAAATATTTAATTTTAAATAATATTTTTTTAAAAAATATTTTTCATTTTATAATTATTACTTTGAAAATTTCGGAATATTTTTGGTATATGGCAACACTTTTCGAAAACTTTAGTTCATATTTTTTTATTTTTATATATAATATTTAAAATAATATCTTTAAAACTTGGTATATGTCAACACTGCTCAAAAACTTTACATAGTATTTAAAAAATAATTTATTTTAAAAATAATATTTTAAAAATTACTTGAAAATTTTGTTATGTGTTTGTCATTGTTGAAAATTTTAACTAATATTTTGTAAAAATAATATCTTTCTCTCTGTCTCTCGGCAACCCTGCCTATAGAAATGCTTATGAGAATGCTTTACAATATAATATTTTTAAAAATATTTTAAATTTAAAATGCTCAAGACGTTGTAATCTTTCCATACCCATCTCTCCCTACCCCAGTGAAGCACACCAGATTATGCATGAAACCTGAAATTTCGTATGAGCTTTTAAAAACTTGTAAAATGATACCGTTATGCATATAATTCTCGTACGGTTTGTTACAATTTGTCGCAGCCACACGCCCCGGAGTTTTACAGTTAACCAGCATACGCTGCAGAAATATCCTTTTTTCTCTGCGCTCATGCTTAACCCTCCCCTTCCGTTGTCACGTGTCAAACAAATTATGATAATTGCATGCAGTGATGCTGTTCACTGCCATAGTAGCGGGTCGCACGCAATTTGCGGCAACGAATGCAACGCCGGCGGAAAATAGAAACATGTCGAAGGTAGCACACTTACAAAAAAACGATGAAAAACGAGAAGAGACTAACCGAAAGAAACACGGAATCCGGAAATATTTCGCTTAATTGGCTTAGCAATAAAAATTGACATAACGCGCTGCACACTTACGCACTAACGGGTGCGGAGGTGGAGTAGGTGGAGCGTGTGGTCTAATTGCCCGTTGACTGGTCGGAAGACAGCAGCCCAAATGGGCGGAATCACTAAAACTAATTATCCATGAGTAGTGATAACTCTCCCAGAATAAGCTCTGGATTTACAGATACATATTTACATGGTTTCAGTTGCTTGCAGCTAATAACGGTATTTTGATGCTCGTGCCGATAATATTTGATAAAGATTACATAGTTATGAGCGATTGCGACATGTAACCCTTTGCTTTGTAGTTTGACCTATTATGAGATTGTTATATAGATTACGTGATTAACTCTTTTCTCAGTGAAATTTAGTAGTTTTCTTTCTGTTAGGTAACTCTGCAAATGTTTGATAGTTTAAGCCAAATTTCTTTGAAGTTATTTCGTCTGTTAAGTCTTGTGCTGGTATTTCGGGAAAGTCGTATGTCGCAGCTGACGTTATGAGTTACACTTAATTGCATTTTTTCTCGACGCTTCTTCTTGGTTTCCTGCTTTTTATTGAGCCGATCGCATTTCGACGGATTGTTTATTTTTCTGCAACAGTCGAATCTTTTGTATTCAGGATTCAGTATCCCAAATATCTTAGTGTATAGAGAAGCGGAAAAATAAGTCTAAGTGACGAGTAGAGTTATGGACGAGACCGTCCAAAACTCTTCAATATCAGTTATGTGATACTTTCGGATTTTGGTTGTCGTTGCGTTGATTCTATTTGTTTTTAAGTAGAGGGAAGAGGAAATTCTGGAGATATATCTTAAGATATTCTAGTTGTCGGGTCAAAGAGTCACATGTGGCAGAGATATAGTTTTATTTTCGGCATTTCAAGAGAGTGTGAGTTAGAGACGCCTTAAACATTTCAATGTTAAGTAGAATTTGGTTAATCTGGCTAAAAATGACTTTTTTATTAAGTTGTTTTGGCGTAAAATCATATAACATATTAAGAGAAAAGAACAGACCGGGGATTAGGAGGCTTCGAGCTCTGCAAACCTCACAAATTGTGTTTCTATTTAAGATATTCTAGTTTCATAGAATTAGGTTAGATTAGGTTAAAAGGTCGATCCAAAAAGGTGCCGGTCCCTTGTGAAACCCGAATACTACTCTCAAAAATAGACAAAGCGCTTTTGACTCTGCCACAAATTTGTTATTGCGGCTGATATCAATTCCGACTATTTCGTCAGGTTCTTCAGAAAATATGACTGTCCAGATGTTTCAACCTCAGACTTGGAAAATCTGGACAATAGCGGAGAAAGTGCTTGGATTTTTCCACCTCGCCTTCCTCCATATAACTTCGACAGTTAGCGTCCAACAAAATTTTTATCCTTGCCGCATGCACTAATATATTATTGGGCAGTAATCAGTAAGCACTCCTATGAATGCGGCAAGGTTTACTCTCTTTAAGAGCGAGTAGTTCAGTAGTTCTGCCGCATTCCGCACTAGGCCAGAAGGATCCCGTAGCCTCACAGGAGCTAGGCCTGAAATTTAAATGAAATTTCACTTCTCTCGCAAATTTTATGCATTGCGTTCTCTAATAAAAATGGAGAGAAAAAACAGCAGTGCTCTTTCTAACACTTAACCCAATGAGTAATTGATTGTTTTTCTCCACAAATGCCTCGAAATTTTTTCCATATATTTTCCTTCCATGCCTGAGTTGCGCAATTACCAGCTTGATTTATTAATGCTTGATATGTGCCAAAGCATGCAAGGACATATGGTTGTCGGTAGTGAGTACAAAATTTTTTTTCCAAACCGCGTGTCCAAATGTTCTAGTATGTCTCATACTAAGCCGCAGTATGCACTCGCATATTAAACTTTATTGGCGGAGTTGACCACAACGATGGTCAAATTGTTTTTGTTATTGCTATTGCTATAAGCTATTTGCATTTGTTATTGTTATTGTTTTTTTTTGTTTTGGTTTTTGCACAGCCACTTTATTCGCTGACAATTTCCAAGTGCATTTAGAAAATTAAAATACAAACAAACAACTGCAGAGTGAAAAAATGTATATACATGTAAATATGTTTATATAGTATGTATGTATATACGAACACATATGTAAAGTACTCAATTTAATATAAATAAACCGTCGTTGAATGCACTCGACCGCTGAGTTCGTTGGGTGGATTTGCACACTCCTGTAAAGCTAATGACTGTGCAACATTAAAAAGAGTGCAGCTGAATCATTGTTTTTGTTTTTGTTTTATAACTATACTTTAATGATACTACATGTGGAGTGTCAAAGTAAATTAGCTGCAAATTTTAAATTTAATAAAGTCTCGCGGGAACTTCCGGCGCTTGCTACAGATTTTAATTAAGGGCTTGCAGTATGCCTTTAGCTTACATTTTCGAAACACTTTGAACTTCTCCATTGATTAAATACCTCAGCTACACGCTTTTGTAGTATTTTTAGGAGAAACAAAAAAAACGTTAATTTCGGTTGCCCGAAGCTATAATACCCTTCACACGAGCATTTCTTATAACACAAAAGGGTATAGAAAAATATTTGTATCTTAATTTTTAGCGGTCAGTTTGTATGGCAGCTATATGCTATAGTGTTGCGATCTGAACAATATAATCTGAGATTATATCGCTGCCTTGGACAATAATCCATGCCAAAATTTGTGAAGATATCTTGTCAAATAAAATAAGTTTTTCATACAAGAACTTTATTTTAAGCGTCAGTTTGTATAACAGCTAAATTCAATACGAGCCCGATATCGGCGGTTCGGAAAAAAAGAACATAAGAACGCAAAGCTTCAACTCAACACCTCAAAAACTAAAGGACTAG